CAGATCAGTCTAAATTAGGGCTGTAATCAGTTGATTATTCTGACGATTAATTGAGTAATCTGATCTAGTGTTGTCAAAAGTACTGACCGTGATACCATTTGGTACTGAAATTTAAAAAACGTCTATTTCCCGCTAACATTTGAGCGCTGTTGAGTGGGTTCTTTAACAGCGCTGAATGGTCATTGAGCATGTTTACATGCACACCAGTAAGCTGATAACTCACAAATATCAGCTTATTAAAATAACCAGTTTTCCCCGTTTACATGCACATCAGTAACCTGACAACGCAAGTAAGCTGCGTTTACATGACTTCATTAATAAATCAGATTATTTCCCTGTAGTGACGTCAAAATATAATAATTTGCGTATCTGAATCAGAGTATTCCATACATTTGTCAGTTTTGATGTTAAATTAAGCTTGCAACATGTCAACTTGCAACATGTCGAGAAACTTACAGCTCATATATTATCCTCACATGCAGTTATAAACGCAGCATTGTGACTGAACCACTTCTACTTCTGCTGCACAAGATGAGAACACATTTTTATCATTTTCTGAGTCATGAAAAAGTCTGCTTTTGTGATATATTTCCTTCTTTCTTTACTGCAAGACGTTTGCATGCGCTTAAATCTGCACTAATGATGCGTTCCTGTCACGTATCACACATGCACACTTCAATAAGCGAAAAAGTCTGCTTTTGTGATATATTTCCTTCTTTCTTTACTGCAAGACGGTTGCTCGGTCTAGATGCGCTTAAATCTGCACTAACGATGCGTTCCTGTCACGTATCACACATGCGCACTTCAATAAGCCGACAGAAAGCGGGTTATTGCGTTTACAGTGCCTTGCAATTTTTTTCATTTTTTTCACATTTTGTTATGTTGTTGCCTTATGTTAAACTGCTTTAAATTACTTTTTTTCCATATCAATCTACACTCCACACACCATACTGACAAAGCAAAAACAGAACTGTCACAACTTTGTAAATGTATTAAAAATTTAAAAAACTGAAATTAGTACATTGCATAAGTATAACTACATATTTAGCTAAAGCACCTTTACAGTCTCAAGTCTTTTTTGTTTGATG